ATAAATATTTTTTATTTTTATATCAAAATAAAAATATAAATTATAAATTATATATATTTTAATATATTTTTTTAAAAAAGTTATTGCAAAATTTTTTTATAACTTATAGAATTATATATAGTTAAATCTTTATGATTATTGTTCTTGAAAAGCAAAATTGAGTAATTATAGAGAAAATATAACTATAAAGAAATTTTTTTATTATATTTATATATAAATAGAAAAGCAAAATAAAATGACTATAAAGAAGTATAATTATAAATAAATGTGACTATAGGAAAATTTGACTGTATGCAATTTTATTAATAAAATATAGTAAAAATTAAAATTTTTTATATAAATATTTTTTGTTTTTTTATTAAAATATAAATTATAAATTAGTTTAATATATAATTATATCTATTTATAACTATATTTCTTTATAGTTATCTTATTTTACTTTTCTATTTATATAGTAAAAAAACTCTCTATAGTCACATTCTCTTTATAATCATCAAATTTTAATTTTTTAAGGATAATAACTATAAAGAGATTTAATTGTATATTTTTCTGAATTTTTAACAAAGTTATTTTAATTACAAAGCTATTACAAAAATTTTTATAATTAATTTTATATTTTAATTATAAAAATTTTTGCAATAACTTTATAATTAGAATAATTTTATCAAAAAAAATATATTATATTAAACTATAACTTATGATTTTTATTTTAATATAAAAACAAAAAATATTTATTAATAAATTAAAAACTTTTATATAAGATAAAAATTTAATTTTTATTATAGTTTATTAATAAAATTGCATACATAATTTCATAATTTTGTTAATTACTGTATAATTTTTAGTTTGATATAAAAATAAAAAATATTTATTAATAAAATTATATACAATTAAAACTCTATATAATTACATTCATTTTTAGTTACATTTCTTTATAGTCACTTTATTTTGCTTTTCTATTTATATATAAATATAATAAAAAAATTTCTCTAGTTATATTCTCTTTATAATTATCAAATGTTGTTTTTTTGAGAATAGTAACTATAAAGAGATTTGATTGTATATAATTCTATAATTTTGTTAATTATTATATATTAAATATAAATTATAATCTTTATTTTAATATAAAAATTATAAAAATAGAATTTTTAATTAACTATATTTTAATAATAAATTTTAAAAATAATATATTAATTTTATAAATTATTATATTTTAATATATAATAATTAATATAATTATAAAATTATATATATAATTTTATTGAAAAAATTAAAATTTTTATCTTATATAAAATTTTCAATTTTATTAATAAATAATTTTTATTTTTATAACAAAACAAAGATAATAAATTATAGTTTAACATATATTTTTTAGATTTTTTCTGACAAAGTTGTACTAATTGAAAAGTTATTGCAAAAATTTTTTATAATTAAAATATAAAATAACTTAGCAATTAAAATAACTATCAAAAAAATCTAAAAATTCCAAAAAAGAATATATATTAAACTATAACTTATGATCTTTATTTGATATAAAAATAAAAAATATTTATTAATAAAATTAAAAACTTTTATATAAGACAAAAATTTTAATTTTTATTATGTTTTATTAATAAAATTGCATACATGATTCCATAATTTTGTTAATCACTATATATATATATTATTATTTTTAATAAGTTATTTTAAATTATATAAATTTTTTACAATAACAAAATGTAATAAAATTTGACAATTTGAATAAATTTACAAATATTTATTTAATATTCAAGTAAATAATTGTATTGAATATATAACATTTTAAAAGTGATAATAATAAACCATTTTTAGAGCTAAAGAAATTGCTAAAATGATTTAATTATTTAAAAAGCGCTGATACAAATAAATGGGTTTAATTTATTTTGGATAACAATTGCTTGTGCATTTAGAGTGATAATTTCATTTTCCCGCCCGCTGGGCTTACATTGGCCAAATTTAAATAATTCGAATAAAATCAATTATAATGCAATATTTAACTCGATAATAGTAGAAACAAGACAATACATCTAAAGAACATCACTAAACACATGAACCTGATTATCGATCACAACATTTGGCGAAAAAAAATTCTGAAACAGAAGCATTTATATCTTTTGATTTGTCATTTGCCAGTATTGTTTGGGGAACAGTAGCGTCACCGGCTAAGTCATCCTTGGATTTTGTATTCTTCGTTTATTATATTTACCTGGATGATTCTTCTACTTATTATGATGGTGCTGTAATTCTCGCATGATCCGGTTGGACTCGACGATATTATCAAGGGATTTGTCAATTGTATCGATTGGTTTGTTGACGGCTTCAAAAGTTTGTGGATTAATTGTGGTTTTCATTTCATTAATCTGTCCATGTCTGTTGGTTGAAATGCGACGGTGGAGCTAGATTCGTTGGTTGTTGAAAATCATATCACAATCATCGAATACCAGTAAATGGAAGATTACCGTGAACCAAGATATTTGATCTTAAAGCTATTGCTTGTCCTTGTTTTGCATGAATAGTCAGTTTCAATTCAGGAAATCATAGTATGACCACCATTACCGTTATCTTAAGCCGTTCTTTTCTTGAACAATCTTTACCAAAAATTATCGTCCACGCCGAGCACGACATACGTATCCACACGGATTTTCCATGTAAAGAACTGTCATCATTAAGCCTACACAAGTCAAAAAATGACGAATATAATGTTTCACGATTTGCTGCATAACATCCGAAAAAATGACACGAGAATTACTTTCCTGCATGAATAATCCCAACAGTTTGCAATTTTCGACACAGGTAATTAGGATTATTTAACGTTAAATAGTACCAGATCCCAGTCCACTCTGCTGAACTACCAACACATTTGACCAGTTGAATATTGTATACCATAGATCTGAGTTCTGCAGACTTGAATCGTCCTTAATTGTCCACCTTCAAATGATCCAAGAGGGCAAACAACACAAAGTGTATTTAGATGATCTTTCACATCCCGATGAAACTGGCTGATGGCATCGCAATACGATGCTCCACTCGTCATAGTAAAAATAGGAGATGTTGTAAGTCTTAGATGAAGCCAAGGGCGAGGACTTCATAGGAAGTAAAAATTCAGACATCAATGGTAATCTCCTCTTGAAGTGGTGGTAATGGTGTCAGAGAGAAAGCATGTGATAATGAAGTATTTCCCAGTGTATTATCCATCTGAGGGATGTGGTTGGTTTGGTAACTTGGATATCAATCGTGTGTTCCGTTTGTCTTTGTCTCTGGATGATCTCATTTCTCGAACCACCCGTGCTCCTCCTAAAAAACAAAATTCGATGAAGAGAGCCACAGGCTCGTCTACGGCGTCGCATCAGAAACCTTGTTGACGAGCAGTAGTGCTGGTTCCTTACTAACTTTGAAGTACTCATCATACCACCTTTTAATTCTCATCATCTCAACCGAAAAATTAATTCCAAAACGGTCCGCAAGATGCTTACCTGATCCCACAGCCGATTCCGCGAACGCCTTGTTTTTAAGGCCGATGAATTGGGTAAAAAAGGTGATCATCCAGAACGAGGCTTATAACGAGCAAAAACCTGCAGTTGCTACGGATTTATCAAACTCAACTTGGGTGGAGACAAAGTATTTAGGTGTAATGGGTGTGGAGCAGTGATGGATAGGGATCTTAATGGCGCCCGAGTGCAGTGTTGGCAATTGGACCAATTGGACATAACAAACTGCTAATTGGACATATGGGGTGAGGTCAGTAGAAAAGGGACAAGTCTATTATTAGAGTAATTTGTCCCTTTACTACTGACGCCACCACATATGTCCAATTCCAATCCAAAACAATTGGACATATAAAGCTGTCAACACTGCCCGAGGGATATTCCTGAAGGCTTTGCTTGATGGGGCTGTTTGTATGCAGTAAACTTACTGTATATACGCATTAATTGATTAGTTTTGTATTTATAGTTTACTATTACTGTATGTTAAAATCGCGTTATTAGGAACCAGGATTTTAGCAAGGTCATTAAACCGAATTTTCATGAATTAGATCTGTCACCAAATCCAAAAAAGGGAATATGCACGCGACTCTTCAGAGTTATTGACCTAATTTTCTGGCACAAAAATTTACAAATAGTTTATCATGCACTTTATTAAATGGCTGAAAAAGACCTCGAGACAACATACAACAAAATTAATGTCTTTGCTACCACTCTTAAATCCAAGAAACTGGGTGAGTCCGTAAATCCAAAAAGAGATAATACATGTGATCTAAATAAGAAGCTAGGGTGAAGCCTTCACCACTTTAATTACCTTTTTGAAGTTGGATTTTTGTGAAAAGATTTACACTACTTCTATAATATAATGTGCAATAAGCTGACTTGCAAAAATACCTTTGAAAAAAAATACATATTACGAATTCATATCTTTATATATATATTAAACTAGATCTCCGAATCCACATTCCGTCAGTCTTGAAAAATAGAGATTTTATGTTTACGAGAAAAGCGATGGTATACGTTGCTTGATGTACACATTTAGTTATGATATGAAGATGTATTTGTAAGTTAACCTTTTTATTTTTTTATTAATTATCTAATGAATTTATTTTGTTATGGCAAAATCAAGCTAAAGAGAAGAAGTGTACTCTTTTGCCAGGCTACAACCAGAAACAATAATGGACGGTGAATTAATGGTGGATGTCGAGGTACGCTAGGATTTCTTTGTATCCTTTAAATATAGACTTGATCATTAATTTTATCTTACAATATGTAGTTGAACAACTAAAAATAGCAATGGAAATGATTTGACAATGAAGATGTTATTCACGTACGTTATTGCATTTTCTCATGTTGTTTATTTTTAGTTTCCTGATGATATGAATGAGAAAATTAATTAACTGTTTATATATATGTTGTGTCCTAAAGCAGAGTCCCGAAAACAAGATCAATAGTATTATCTAACTGATTTAATTTAACACTAATATGAAATTGTGATTTGGGCTGCCCGGGGCAATTGATATTTAAGACACAACATATATATACATAAAGTATTGAACTACATACTACATCTAAAACGATGGAATCTTCAAGTCGGTTGAACGTTCATATGCACCCAGAACTAGTTATCATTATTACTTCTTGTTACTATGATTATTTATTTAACTTTTCAAATAGAAACCAGTAAATTCAAGATGGTTGTAGTTCCAGTTCCAGAGTATCATATATAGGAGATAAGGGTATTATTCATGAGTATGTGATTCTTTTGTTTCACTTTTATTTTTACTTTATCGAAAAATGGTGGATGAATCAATTTTTTAAAAATAGTAATAATGGCAATGCCATCTCAGTTACCTCATCAATCATCCAATTCCAGAATTATTAGGAATTCTCTGTCGATTAAATCGCTTATCAACGTGCAACATGCTTCTCAGGATCCAAAAAGAGAAATTTGCAAAAAAAGGGGGTGAACTCATTTCTCAAGTTGAGGAACTAAAAATAATATATATTCAAAGTTTAGTAATTTAGTGAATAGCTTTTTTTCGTATGTCATAAATAAAGATATGAAGTGAATAGCTTTTTTTTTCGTATGGCATAAATAAAGATATGAAGTAAATAAATTATCTTCTCGCTATTTTTACAAATATTGTAGTTTATTATTGGTAATGAAGACATTCATAAGTTGTAATTATCGTGAAAGAGAAATATCCAATCTTTTAACGTTAATAATTCCAATAACATAAATAGTCATCCTAAAACGATTAGTATGTATTATGCCAATGATCTCGCGTTTATCATTATTTGATTGCTTGGCAAGTTATTATTAATTATTGTTCCGTGTCAAGACTGAGTTACAATGTGATCGATTTACGGAGCAATAATAAAACTGTAACACATTATTCCGGCATCGCACGACTTACAGTCAATGCAAATGATGTTGCGAATTCGTGTAGTAGCAGTGACAGTAATATCTCTGACTATTAGGTTATTCAGTTACTGGATTTGTAAAAATGAAACGACTAACGAGAGTAAAACGTTTCTATGAAAGAAAATAATTACGCACGATCATACGTTTGATCGTGTGTGTGTATATGTGTGTGTGTGTGTGTGTGTGTGTGTGTGCTAGAGCGATCAGGCACGAATAAACGTACATGATTTATTTCTTTGTGCTTCTTAATTGTTCGTGCATGGAAAAGAGAAAGAATCGACATTAACAATAATCACAATCACCAACTAAAAAAAGAACAACAATAAGAATTGAATGAATCAAAAAAAGGAAAAATGATAAAGGCATGCACTGGTGACAGTTTTCTGTATGAGATCGTGGTGACCGGAAAGAACTCTGCGTTTTCCATGGTTCTTCGTTTTTCCCGAGGAGAAAAAAAAATTAATTAAAAAATTTATTCTGGGGGGCTTGCATCACCGTCTTAATTAATAAAGTTAGATTGATTGCGCATTGCATCGACAGACATTGTTAATTCTATTAGTGGAATTACCATTTACGAATTCGAGATATCCACTAGTACATGTATACGTTATCATGACGTTTTCTATCAAGAACGAATGCGGGAGTGTCCAAATAACGATAATAAAATGTCTATCACACACACATTTATCGGCTGGTTTTTTAAAATTCGAGAAATGCATAAATATAATTAATATTTTCATTGAAGAATTAAAAATTCATTGAGTGTGCGTGTTTGAGAATCGCGAGTGATGAATGGATCCGGGTAAATGCTATACTCGGTAATTACAATAGAACTCAATCGGTAAGAAAGATGTGGCGCTTTTAATGGTGGCTATGTGTTAGTCTCAAATATTGACAAATAAATAAATGTTATCGCTATTCAGACTCCGATTCTGAAATCGGCCATACAAAAAGAACGCCATACACGTATCGATAATGATACGCTTTATACACAGAAACTCGTTTTTCTTTACGTATTATACACGTAAGCACGCACGCGTCAGCCACACGCAATGACTGAATTCTCAGTGGTAGATTCTTTTGTATTATTGTTGTTTTTGTTTGCGTGAGAGATTACGCGTGAACATACAAAAACGCGTTTTTTTTAATTTATTTACTTTTTCGCCCTCTTCCCAAATCCTATTAAGATTAACAGCAAAAAAACAATGATAATCGAATGATCATTGATTAATTCAATTGCATTAAAAATTAAAGATTCGCTTCTCTTTGATGCATACGTACACATAAATACATAAATGCATTCATACATATACATACACACATACTATAACTCCCCTTTTTGTTTTCCGTAATACATTGGATAAGACATCTCACATACATACACGTCCATAGACACACATGCACACACACCATTTAGCCCTCAAACAATACAATCTATTTCTAATGATGATGTTTAAAGACAGAAACGTTTAATATTAAGTGGGGAAAAACATTTAATGCAGGGAAAATAAAAAAAAATAATCGTAACACGAAACAAAGAGCAAAAGAGAAAGAATATTAATTGTAATAGGACAGCAAACAAGCGCAAGAGATAAAATTGATGAAATTACGCTTTTTTATTTACTTTACTTTCATCAATAAGATGCACGTAGAACATACAAAATAATTACTATTTCTCTTTGTCTCAGAAAAGTTTTGCACATGATATTAAGTGATAATGTACCATCCACACAGATCACGCGAGACAATAAAAGATTGTTTGTGTGTTAGTTTTTGTAGCACAGTTACACGATACAATGGGATGAATATCTGATTGATCGAAACCTCGAATTTGTTCCGTCCTTATTTCGATCATTGTTCAAACAATCGAGAATTGACCACAACAATGCAGCATATTAATTACTCTTCAATTTTATGTAATGCAGTTGATCTCTTCGGCCGATTTATAACTTAACGTGTGTCTTGATATAGGAATTTTATAATAACAATATAAAATTTATTTTAATATATATATATATATATGTGTGTGTGTGTATTTGTATTTTATATAGTGTACGACACGGAAAGAATTATTTAAAGTTTTTGATTATTTACTTTAATAAATAGATGTATGAACAACCTAAAAAGTAAGGTTGTGTCTGAAATTCTAATGTTGATGATATATGATTGGTCAATTGAATACGCAAAGTTATTTTTATTCTCGGTAATTTTTGGTTTTACGATCAATCCTTTGTACGGAAAATTATTTAATATTATTAATGGACGATAACACATGTTCAACTTCAACTCACAGCGAGTGGTTTAATGGATACGGGAGAGAGAAAACAGTATCCAATCTAATCCAAGTATTCATCGGTTCAAATTTTTTGGTTTAATGAACAAATCTTAGCCTAATAAGCGCCTTTAAACATTATTAATTTTGTCATTGCTTTTTTTGAATTCAAATATCTACTAGTATATATATACTATCCTTCGAAAGGTCTAGAACCAAATGTTACAACTTATTAGTTGAACTTTTTGCATTGTGATCAATTATTATTCTATACATACATATGTATATATTATTATATAAATTATCGATATTGTTGTTTTCTAATTGTTTGCCTTAATTGCATAAAGATGCATTTCCTCTTCATCTTCTTGCCGTCGTAATTTTTTTTTTGATTTTATAACACCTAATAAAAATTAATAATAATAATCAGAAAATAATAATCAGAATAATAATAACAATAATAATAATCTGCACTTTAGCAAATAAAATCAGAATAATAATAATAATAATAATAATAAAAATAATAATAATAATAAATAATAATAATAATAATAATAATAATATGGATAAGACTACACTGAAGCAATAGAAGAAATAATAATAATAATAATAATGATGATGATGATGATGATAATGATAAATAATAAATTAAATAAATAAAATTAAAAATCTTTTTTTTTTATACTTTCGATTTCTGTACGTATTATATTCAATTAATTGATAATGAAAAGGATTAACAGCAGCATAATAATATTAATATTTTATTAGCAGATCGATCATTTTCGTCTCAATCAATGTATACGTTCAATCAATGTATACGTTCAATCACTATCTCAATAACACACAAAACAATGGGAAAAAGAAAGCTTTCGTCATTTTTGAACATTATAATTAGTTTAACAGTATTTGTCATGCCTAATTCATTCAGTTGTAACATTATTTACATTGTCACAGAGAGAGAGAAAACAATTGTAATTAAGAGATTTTGTTATGGAAAATAAGAGGAGTAAATCCTCATAATGTTTCAGAATCTATTTTACACACATAAAAACTAGCCACAATACCATATCGCTATAAATAAATTACAAATTGGGTTTATGTATACGCTCTCTCGGACACACTGAACTTTATCCTTTTTAATGTTGCCCATTATAAACTATGTTTTAGCTTGAAACAGTTAGTCTATTATCGCCATATATTATATGCAGTAACAAATCAAATTGTACATACGCACACATATTAAATTCATTTATTAATTTTTTAACATGGCACGCGGGAAAAAGAGTTTAGAGTTTAGTTTCGAGAGCTATTAATAATCAGCATAATGATAATGAATGAATTTTTGGCATTGAAAGAGAAACATTTTACAAAGCCCCCGAAGGTATTATGTTTTAATAATGTATACCGAAGGTACACGTAATCCGATCTTTTATTCATAATTTGCCTTTTTTACGCTATCTCTTTTTTTACAATATTGGTTATCCTCTCACACCACTTGCAACAAAAAATACTCGTTCTTTTGTAAACGGTCTTTTTTTTGTGGTGACTCTAATAAATCAATAAACAAATAAGGTAAATCAGCCGGTTAGAATTAAAAACGTGCTTATTTTATTTTTTATATTACTGATCGAACAAAATAAAGAGCGCTGATGTTTGATGCTATTGACATCAATCGATGATCGATGTAGTATCTTTCTTTGGTGTATGTACGCGGAAAAAGCATACATCAACATAAACACAATCACCATCCCGTTTTTTTTATTTATATTGCTAGCTTACTTTAACGCGCGGGTTGCAAATGATCGACCACGTCCAAAGCCGATGATGTTGATGAACGATTAATTATTATACAACAGAAGTACAAGCTTACTTCTTTCTGTTATTGTTATTTTTGTTATTGTTGCTTAAAATAAATAAATAAATAATTTTTTTTATTTAATCATTTGACAAGTTTTTCTGTGTGGTAGAATTAATTTTATATAATAATACTAGAGAGGGTAAATCGCATTCATTTTTTACTCCTAAAAAAAAAAACTTAAAAACTGGGACCGAGATTCTGTTCGTTCTCTTATTACTCAAATAATATCATCATAGTTCAATCAATCATCTATATATTTTTTCACATAGGTGAATTGAAAAAATACACGCCTTCTTACCTTACCACTTTTCTACAAAGTATTAATTCTGATTAAATAATAACGCGCTTTATCATAATACTTGATAAATTATACAAATTTCACTATATAAAAACACGACATGACACGAGATTAATACAAAAACTTTTTCTTAAAAATTCTCATAGTAATCATATCATTTTTTTTCTAGTTTATATCATAAAACAAAAACCAATTCGTGAAAGACATTACTTATTATTAATTTATTTGTTAATTACAACGCCATTTAATATTTCTCACACATCGCAAAAGTATTTGTTTATTTAAAGAACCTTGAACAAAAGTCATATACATCCGTCATCACAAAATTTAAATCAAATCAGAACAAAAGCCACTTTAATATTATTAATTCGTTTAACCCAAAAAAAGCCAACAAATTGATGATTGAAAATTCCCTGGACAAAAAATACTATATATATCTTTCTCTATATACGTAAAAATACTTTCTGGACGCACACGTTGTAGTCCTAACCACGCTAAAAAATCATTGTCATTGTTTCCCATTGTCAGTCATGTCTTCTCAACTATGTTTTTGGAGTCTGCTCTCTCAGAGAGACTTTACGTTCGTATACATTTCACCGTTTTTGAGTAGGGAATTGGGACTCCAACACTCTTCAATTTTGGGTACCTCATTCTTTGACTATATCCATCCTCTCGAAAAAGAACTAGCTCGTCGTGATTTCTTTGGTTTTGTCAATAAAAAGACTCTTTATGGATCGGTTACAAGGTTGGTTTAATATTATCTTCTTGAGAATCCTGGGAATTTATGCAAAAATGTGTCATTTTCTCCCCCATTATTTGTGCATTTTTTGAATTCACTTTCTCTTATTATCTCACGTAATTCCTATCAAAAGTAATATGATTCTGTTTAACTAAGCTAAACTAAACCTCTAAGCTAAACAATTATAAAATTCTTTTATACTAGATGTCAATTTAATAGTATATCGGCAATTCAATATAAATTATTACGCCATCAGCAACAACAATTTTATCCGATGATCAAAACGGAATTGAATTCAACATCAACATCAACATCATCATCCTTTTTAAGTACTGGACAATACGCTTTTGTCCACAATAATCCCGAAAATAATCATGATACCACACGAAATATTTCATCCACGGGATCACCATCATTAACATCACAAACTCAACAAATTATCAAGAATAACACCGAAAAAGAATACGTAATAATGAATATCGGGATGAACGTAGTCAGCAAAGACATCGTTTTAGCATGCTTTCATTCGGATGAGGCTGTTAATGATAATTTCAATGTCAATGGTATGATCTTCTGCTGCTCTTTTTTCTTTACAGAAAATCTATTCGTTATTATTATGCAAATCACTGATTCCCTTTTTAGATATATCGACATCATTCTAAAATACGTTTATTTTCTTTTAGCAGGAATTCGATCGTCATCATATATAAGCAGCACGTGCGGTGAATCAAATTTCACTTCGGAGGTTTGCATCTTTTTGCTCAATGGTTCCCAATTTATATAATTAACGCGATTTCACCTCAATTATATAATTAACGCGATTTTATTATTCTTCCTATAATTTATACAGGAATTAAATAATATGTTCAAGATTCTACAACGATATCACGCCCATATGGAATCCATTAATGCTCACAGCCCACCATCAACACCATCAATTCACCATCCTCTCTATTACCCGTCAATTGATCGTATATTCCAAATATTTGATGCGCAAACCAAAAAATTGATTTTCACGTGGCCAGATCCAAACGCATCATCGATTAATCAGCATAAGCATTCGAATTTCAACTCGTTTCTCGACTATGATTTTTCCCGATTGATACACAACTTTGATTTTACTTCGAATTCACTCCATGACACCACATCTCCTAAATGTATTCGGCCATATGACAATAAACACGTGACGAAGTTGTCATCGGGAGACTCGCGTATAATTGAGAGTGTCATGATTCCACATGGAAAGATTATATTTGCATGTTTTCAAGTTATGCCGCCATCATCATCCATTAACGGCAATACATCATCATCAAGTGAATATCTAAAGCCGAGACCTCATTCGGCACCATGTTCACCAGCCACAGTTCCTTCAATCTGTGGCAATGGGAATAAAAGAGCGCGAGGATCTTTATCGCCTCCGATTCGATTGAATAGTTATGAGAATTCGAAATATTTTAGTATCCCAGATTTCACTTTGGATTCTGACAGTGAATATCGCAAAAGACGTGCAACTGGACATGAATCGCCACTTTTCATTAAAGGTTCACAATCGCCAGTTTTAGAACCAAATCATTTGTTACATCCAATCTCACCTCAATTTCCTGCGAAGGTACAACCATTCAGTAACAACAACAGCAACAGCAATAATAACAATAGCATCAATAACAATAATCGAGTTCAGTTTTCACCTCAATCAAATCCGCTTAGACTACAAATCCAGCCACAACAACCATCTGATTATAAGATTTCTCCTATTTCAACTTCTCCAACGAGTCCCATCAGAACTTACGCTAACACAGCTAGAGGGAGAAATACTAATCAATTAATGAATGGTACCGTTAAAATATGCGAAAGCTGCCAAACAAGCTCTAGTCCAGAATGGCGTCGCGGTCCTACAGGACATAAAACGTAAGAATTTCCTATATTCTAGCTTAAAAGAGATTTATTGGATTAATTGTTATTTCTTAATTCAGATTATGCAATGCTTGTGGTCTTCGATATTCGAGGACGATTGCCCGGGAAAATCGTAAACGGCAAGAGCGTGAACAACGAGAGCGCGAGGAACGAGAGCGCGACGATCGTGAACGCGAAGAACGTGATTCTGATAGAGGAAACGGAGCTTTAAATCATCCTTTCACCCAATTCATTCCTGGAAATTCACCGACCTATCCCGTCCATCAATTTCAACAGCAATCTAATTGCAGATGATCCGCAATCAACTCAACTTCTGAAGTCGTAAATATTCCACTCCAAATAATAATATAGTATATATATAGCGATATTAATTACTCGTAAACGATTATAATAATACTTTAATAATAATCATGATGATAATAATAGATAATATTCTTCAAAAACTCATGTAATTTCTTTAATTCACCTATATTTAAATTAACTCTTAGATTTAGCTCCATTCTCTTGTATATTTCTTCTTTCTATATTTGTACATTTTTTTTTCTCCTAAAAAATTATTATTACTAATCCATAATTATAAAAGAGCAAATCTTTTTCTAAAAAGCGCGCATATATAACTATTACTTAGCTAATAAATTATCCGAGATTTATGTAAAGGTGCATATATATGCATTGATTAATGTATCTATTTTTTAGTGCCGAAATTTTTCGCGTTTGTAGCAGTCCATGTTTCCATGTATTACGCTACGAATAAAATTGATTCTGTAACAGACATTACGTCTGTCTAACAAGGATAATTAGAGTAAAAGATAATTCGAATGTACCTTCTTCCTTTACTACCGACATTTTAAGTAATAAACCTCGCGTCGATCACTCGTGTGTATTAAACAGTCTACTCGGGAGACTGCTGATTATTTTGAGCTTACTGGAATTTACTTGATATCTTTATTTTTGTCAATACTAATAAAAATCATGTCAATTAAAAATTATGAAGGCGATTACGAGTAATAAGTTGTAATTCTTTCAGTTTTTGCGGAACTCAATAAGTTAATTCACATAATCAAGGGCCTCACATAACAAAACAACTTTAAATATTTGATACACGAGTAAAAACAAATATTGTCTGTTTTTAGAACCTGAGTATCTTCATTTGTGCTCACTTCATATTAACTATCCCTGTTACTTTAAAATCGTAGAAATTCATTCAAAAATACAAATAATACAGCAAATTATTTGATGAAAAAAGTTTTAATCTTTGCCTAAAGTCGTATTAACAGCCCTCTGAAGGATTATTAGTTGAAATTCAAACCGTGAATTACAGAAATTGCAACAAAATCCTGTATTTAAAGAATTGACTACAAATTATGTTATATAAAGGCGTTTAATTTTGGAAAAGGAAGACATCTTCATCGACTTACAAACAATCAATGAATACAATTAAAAACCCAAGGAAGCAGCTCAAGTAACATTCAATACTCATTACATGATAAATATCATTTCTTTGACAAAGATTCAACAGATTCTGTCGTTTGTGAATTAGCTTAATTAATATGCAGTGAAATTGCATATCTCTGAAATTTTGCCTTTATTTTTAGACTGCAAGACCTGAGGACCCAAATCTCTTAATCGAATTCCCTTATTTTGTAGTCTGCTAATTTTATAAATCTTGGAGGCGCAGATGAATTTGTCTCTATCCAATTTTTTCTGTTTTCAATTTCATTGTATTTTGTTAACGTATGATTTTTTGAATGATTAATCGATTGTCCACTTGTTTGATCGATGCACGTTGAATCGGCATAGGAGGGAAGATACGTAATTTGTAATGATTCTAGAATTGGATGGCAGTAGTGAGTAGATCCAGAATTAATTTTGTAAAGGTATAAATAAAAATTCACCCAAGACATTTGTATTATTCTCTCCAGATTCCGTCCGATACATCTTCCGTGGCAACAGCAGCGGGAGCCGTTGTCACTTCGTAATCGTCCTCGTTCATCGCTGGTTTACACGGCTCCAAGTGGGGTTTATATTATATAATGTTTCTTATTTTCTCTGCCAGCAATCTTTGAGGTGAACAATAGCTAGAATCTGATATTAATGAATGACCTCGCTTACTGAATTATCCTTCTCCGCCCAAGTTGAGATTTATTCTACCTTACAAGATATTAGTCTCTGATAATGTGCCATTCTAATATCATATGTTCTCGTTTACCAAACGTAGCTTGGTAAACGAGTGGCATTTTTCAATTTTCATGCGTTAGATATCGAAGACGAATAATTTTCCAGTTAGTTTTGTATTTCCGCATGGATTAATCGGCTTAGTTGACGCGCGTCATCTTTCAATGGGATTCTTTCTGCATTTGAAAAATGAAGTATAAAAAATTTAATTTCGTTGTTTACAATAAAGATATGTTGCAGTAACATTACTCTCGTAAAACATAAAGTTTTCCTTTACTAGTAAAGCAGCGTAAAATACATTATGGTGTTTGGTTGATAGTTTGTTCTAGTTTTTGTTAGTTAATTCTAGATTTGCAATACCAACGAATTTACGCATCGCATTTTTTATAGCACAATTACAGAATCGAAGGACTCGGACGCGAAGATTTTTTGTGTATTCATTCTTCATTTATTTCGGATATTTTGATACTAGTTTTATTATAATACTACGCTTCGTCGGAAATCACCAATAGATAAACTAGAGACCAAAGTCAGTATCTAGTATTAATTTCAGATACAGCATTTATTGTATGATTTTGTAACGATAATATTAAGATGTGATTGTTGCATCATAGTTGCTGTGGCTGTTGTCGATCTTTGTGATGGATCGCGTTCTTTTATGTCATGTTCGCGCACCTCAACTTGTCGATCCCAATTAATAAATTTTCAATTGTGTTTTTATAAAGGTACGACTGCATGTTAATAAATATATTAACATTAGATAAAAATAAAATTTTGGGTAATAGGATTAAATTATATACTATTATTACATACCGTCTCTTCCGTCAATATTTTCCAATGTAGTTCAAGACGTTTTTTATCATCACGGTACCCTAAAAATCTACAATCAAAAAAAATAAAATGATACAAATCGCACCTTCATACATAATACAAAAATAAAAACAAAATTCATCAGAGCTCGACAATACAAACATCTGGAGAATCATATTGTTAAAAACAGATAAGAAATCACATCCTCCAACTCTTGATCCAATGTATAATTTAGCATAAAACTTTGTCTGCTATCTATAATGATACTCTGGACCTTCAACCTGTAAAATTTTATTTTGTTTATATTGAAAAAAACAATGCTATTTTAGGTCTGGTAATCTCGTACCTGTAGTTCTGACCAATTTCGGACTAATCTCTGGAATTATTTCCAGACCAGTCACATGTCTAGATACCGAAGCTACAATCTAAAATGAAATTCATGAATCGTTGCTTGGCCATCTATTTTTTCAACCAAAACAATATAACGATAAAAATAATGGTAATTTTAAGGACTTAGTAACCAAAGTTATTAATTCCAAATTCTATTTATTCCAAGTCTTTTATCTGATGAAAACATTATAATTAATTAAATCATAAAACTACAAACCTTAACATGATCATTCCATTATTTAATAACAAAGAAAACGATCTGAATTGTTCAATTGAAATCATTAAATATCCGACACCGTCGGATTTTTCACCAAGCCAATAGTCTTCTCTTTTTAATAACTCTGAATGAGCGGCCGAAGGTGACCGGTTGGGCACCAGGAAATCTAAGCTAATGCATAAAATATGAATTTGGTATTAATAGTTATTTTGCAAAAGAGAATATTATATAAATCCCAAACAACAGAAATTATCATTACGTAAGACAGAAGTATATTAAAGCCCATTTTCAATGGAGATGTTATCATGGTACGATGATTTTTCAACGCGTTCACACGAATTTTCTGAATCGAAGTGTCGTGAAGACAGTATAATTGCTTTTAAATATAATGTGTGTCAAGGTCGCCAGCCAGTTAATCAATGCTTTGGACATTTAGCGTATCAATTATTCTGATGTGGAAAATGAGAGCGCGTACAAATTGGAGTAGCTGTAGATCGAGCATAATATAAATCAATTCAAAGATCCTGTGGTGTAGGAAATTGTTTTTTTTTATTTCATGATTGGTACACCACTGCAAACTTTCGATCGCATGCGTAATTTGAAATGCACCTTAGAAAGTGATATAACCTATTGCGGGCTCACTCTCATAGCTTTGTTCGAATAATCTGACCATTGGAAATTCCGCAGCTCAGATTTATTAGCAGATATCATGGGTCGTAAAATTTTACAGGTGGAGGTCGTTAATTTTTGATTTCCAATAAAAGATCAGTTTGTGGACTCGAGGAAAATTAATAAAGCTACAATATTATCAATAATTGATAATTATTTATAAGAAAATTTACTAACCAGATTCGGGTCACAATAGAAAATCCCATTTTTCATTAGATATAAATTAATTACAACAATACCGGTATATTATAAAACGGAAATCCGATAATATTCAATATATATTAAAAATCTATTATATACACTTTAGTAAATTCGATTTTTTGATGAGGGTGGTGACAAATATTAGCTAATATTCTATAAGGGGGGAGGGATGGCCAAATCTCAGGAGGGGAAAGGGAAGAGTCCCTATAATAAAATGTATATTAGCTAATATTTGTCACTCCTCTGACTATGTTTTCGTTACGAAAAGGACAGATTGTGGTGTAGGTGTATGTTCGAATGAGTTTTTACAAATTGCCATCGTCATCATCATCATCATCATCATCGTCGTATATCTTCCTGAATTATTTATCAACCGATTTGTTGGGGATTGATCTGGTGGTTGATGTTGTAGTTGCTGATATGTAAAGCGGATTTTCGCTGATATAGCATTATGTTGACTGTCAATTTTAATGTTAAAAGAATTCCAGACAAAAAAATCATAGGAACAAAAAGAAGAAAATGACGTGAATTTTCTTTGCTCAATATCATTAACACAAATAAATACCTTGTTTGATTGTATTGGATAATTCTTCTCGTGATTTTTGCAATTTAGTGGAGGCCGGTTGCGCTGGTTAGAAAAATAGTCCAAACGATTATTTTCTGATCAAGAAATTAATGATTCACTTTTGGTATGAAGAAAAAAAATCAAAAAATTAAGGGATGCAAAAACATTAAAGATTATATTTATAGTAATAATAATATTAGGCGTTTTTATACTTAGAAACAACATTGAATCTGATCCAAAAAAAAAAGATAAAAATAAATAAATATTCTAACATGAAAATAGTATTAATAGAATAAAAAGGAAGAATATTTAAAAGCTTTCGCAAGTTAACCTACAACTCCATTCCATCTCAGGATTTCTCTCCCCCCGTAATTTTTGAAGCTCTTTAAATGTACCGGTTGAAGGTTCTGTTGTCCCATCTTTCCAAGGTCTTTTTATTATTATATCACCAGGTGAATCGATTGCTATTCGTGGTTCAACCATTGGTACAGGGCTCTGATCCCCATTCAATGCAACTATTAGATACATAGAATATATGCCAATTATATTATTTTATACTAATCATATGATTATCTAATTAATAGACTATGATCTGTGATATATACACACTAATTTATATTAGATACTAATCAAAAGTCCGAAATACCTTGAGCTACTTTAAGTAATATATTTTTCCGAAACCGAGAGGAAGCATCACCTCTTATAAAATTACCCTGTTTTGCTTTTAACCTTCTAACTAGTAAAACTCTACTTGTCACAGCAGCGAAATTTTCCTGTGGCAATGCAGATGTCGTCGTTCTAGGTGGTGTAGCGATATAGGGAAAACGTTGGTCAGGTAACCACTCAATTGCGAGATAATTTTTACACGAGAATGGGGATGAAAAATGTGCGCTATTATGAATTTTCCTCCGTTTAGGAAACTGTGAAGGGATCAAATTATTTTGTTTTGAACTCGATGGAATTCTAAAGGATGGAAATGACGGTGAAGTTTTTCTTTTATGCCTTGGTTCACCTCCAAAAATCGGCCACCATCCATGGTGATTTATTATGTACTGTTGATATTTTAATGCATCGGGTGGTACTTCCGGTAGCTCAGGTTTTTGATGTAAAACTTTAGCTGTCCATTCGAGCCAGCTATTCGTGAACACATTCTTTGACGCAATGTTATTTTGATTCGACAATGTCTTGATAATGGCTGCAGCTTTTTGAGATAAACTACACTCTGTTGTAATAGTGGAGGTAGTGGTGGTGGTGGAAGAGGTAGTGGTGGTGGTGGTTGTGGTGGTGGTGGTTGTGGTAGTCGTGTTTGTTGTGGTTGTTGAACTATTATTATTAATTTTCGATTGTGAATTAGGAGCCATTAATTAATTATAATTAACGCGTGTTGAGTGAAAAACTAGTTATAGTTATGTAGTAAGTTTTTCGAGAGGTGAGTGAAGTTTAGGGTGAAAGAATATATGAGAGACGAGGGTATTTTTCCCAAGTGAAATAAACCACTTTACCGTGGATGAAATTTGACAATCAGCTAACGTTCGCTAATCGTGGGAAACTCCATTGACCGCAGAATGGCAACGGACTCGAGTTCAAATTACTTTTCAAAAGTTTGTTGTTACTAGAACGTACAAAGTCTACGGACAGACGATCATTGGCCTGACAATGACGACGATGTAAGAGTAAAATCTGCCCTCTGTTTCTGTAAACCAATGAGAAATCGCAAACCAAAATTTAATGCTGGACGATTTGGATAACTTGACGGGTAAAATAGTTTTCAGTAGTTGGATTCCCTGCGCCAATACACGTGTATTACAAAAAAAGCCGACCAGGTCAATCTTGCATGCCACTTACTTTTGTTGATTATTAGACTTTATCGTTATCTCGAAAAAAAACATTTGACTCTACAAACGCTTTTTTCTCTTTCTTTACATTTAAGTGGCGTTAAAAACAGTAAAAAACCAAGCATGAGAGAATCAAACTTTTCTTTCCCTTCGCAAAATCGTGCATGCGTTTGCATTACTTCAGCTCTTTACGACCGAAGAGCTCTAGATTGTACGGCCATCTTACCTTTAATAAACTCTTTGACACATCTCACGTACCTGACAAGTACATCTCCTCGTATTCGTGAAATTTTAACCATGGATGGTGGGTTAGAACGTTTGGTCCGCATACTGAAAACTACAAAAGCAAATGACAAAAGAAGTGGTTGGAAGTGGTCCATGGCATTTCAGTGTGTCGCCAATGTTGGAGTGCGTGGCTCTGAAGCTATCAGAACAAGGGTGGTGGAGGCTGGTATGGTACCAGTTATTATTACGGTTTTGGACAATTTTTTGAAGGCTTTAGATCAAGTTAGACCGGAAAAAGAACAAGTCGTAACAGCACTTCCACTAAATTCCCAACAGTCACTTATTGCTACATCACCATCCCCATCTGCACCACTCACTACCCCTTTTGTTGGTACTGTAGAAACTGGTAATTCGTCAAGTCTTATTCAGATGTCTGAGGATTTAGAACAACCTTTCGCTTCTTATCCACACTCGCAAATTGATACTACTATCTCAATATCTTCCAATACATCTGAATATTTTAATTCAAATGAAACTAACACGCACGTCGATGACGCTGAACAACGCGCATCTTCAAACCAAAATCTACGACTTTCATCAGCCACCGCCTCCACAAGTAGGTTATTGACTTCTAACGCCACAACAACCACCACCACAACTACAACTACATCAACCACATCAACTACCTATGACGATGCAAGATCAGACGTGGCTTCATGGGGTTCTGTAGCAGATCCCGAAGAAACAACGACGGCCACTTCCCAAATACCTTCTAATAACACAGAAAATAGTAATCCCAATACAAGCTTAAATTCACACACAACCTTCAGATTACAATCAAACAACAACAATAACAATACAACGAATACATCGCTTACTACACCTCACTTTGATATCGATGTTCTTTACCGTGAAGAAGACATTCTTTTGTCACTTCAATTGCTAGCTTATCTTTCGAAATATCCTCAACTGCGTGCTACTTTTCACAATTCATATCCTCCTCATAATGTATTTTCCCTTGTGGAGAAATACACTCATCGCCTTCATCCTCAAGAAATTCAGTATTGGGCAGGCGTAATTATGCGTAATGCTTGCCGAAAAGATGAGTCTCGTGGTGGAATTCGTCAATGTGCTTATATGGCTTGTGGTAAATGGGAAAGTTACGCCAGAGAATTCGCTAAATGTCGAAGGTGTCGTAAAGCAAAATACTGTTCAAAGGCGTGTCAATCGAAAGCATGGAGTGAAGGTCACAGATGGTGGTGTATGGAAAGACATGGACACGGGGAATCTGATTCTAATCATCAAAACTCACAGTCTAACAATCAACCGGGGACAACAGCAACGCTACCCACGTCAGCCACTGTAATGACCGCTGGCCATCGGTCACGCAATGGCAATTACAGCCATATTACCGACAATCTTATCACCAGGTCTACTGTTACTCATGAAAGTACAGAAATGCCATCTTCAGGAACCTCATCCGATAACACTAGTCATAATCGCAGATCCGGTTCTGGTTCTTCGCTTTTAGTTTCGTGATTATGGTGATGAACTTGAGAAAATAGAGCATTCTTTTCTATTGTCCCATAAATGACTAGGATATGGATATATAAATTTTCCCTTTCGTGTGTTATACTAATATATTATTCATTTCTCGAGAATTTGTGTCTATATAGTAGTATAATAGTAATAATAATAATAATTTCATATTAATTGCTTTTTTGGGGAAAAAGGTGTATGCTAGAGATTCAAGCTTTGACAATCACTATATATATACATACACATATATTTGTATCACGGGTATATTTTCATGCTATACATATATATTCACTTCAATCCTTTTCGCGTTTTACATTCCAGATTATTACACCTTTGTATTCCGGAGACGCCGTACATACGTTTTGTATAAATCAATTCAATCATTCTTTTGCACAATGAAGCTACTTATATAAATTCGAGTATAACTTTATTTCTTAATACATATACCTGTGTATTATTTACTAATGATGACGTATTTCAAGATTGTGAAAGATAATCTGTTGCGTGTTAATTATATTAATTAGAGTTTGAAATCATGAAATGCATTCATTTTTTAATTGACACTTTTTACCCTATTAGTATTACTTAATGGACAATGTTTCCGTAATCGTATCTCGTATACACGTATTATGTTCGACATGGATTTCATATATTCCCAACACGAATTTGATTTCTCTGAACGATCAATGGTGATTAACCGATTAACGACAAGAGCAGTGGCTCTCATTTCCTGCCAATTCTACATTTTTCCCACTTCATCGCGGATAACTTGAAGAATTATCGCAGTCTGTGGTGTGGGAAGATGATCAGGTAAATTGGAATTCAACAACATTATCAACTTGTGTACTATTTACTTCTCTACAATAAATATGTGATGTAATTCCGTGATTCATGAGTTTTCTTTACCTTATAACGTCAAGATCCAAATCCAGTATTTCATAACTTTCGCGAACATCTAATAGTTGTAATGTTCCCATTATAGTTGGCTATTAATATTATCAAATAAATTTTTTCGACCATGACGTGTCGGATTCGATCAGTTGCACTGGGTTTTAAAGGTTAATAAATTATATGTTTCTCGTGAGCACATTCGTAAGCCGTCAACACGGCAAATATTAACTAACCGCGTTCGATCAATCAAATTCTTTTTAAGTCCCCACATCTAGAACTCTCGCTTGGCTCAATTATCTGTGCTGCATTGATGTTTGCTGAATTAAAAGTGTACATTCTCACTAAAATCAATTGGTACTTGCGAAAAATCATATAATAACCTAATTGTTGCAAGCTTTCACGTTTGGATTCAAGCTGCTTTTTAGGCTGCAATAATTTCTAAGATTCGCAAAAAAGATTGTTGTTTATTTTTCGAGTAATGGATTCTTGTCAATCCAATTCAATTCAATTAAATTATATTACCTGTAATTCTTCAAATTGATTCTTGTCAATTCAATTACCTGTAATTCTTCAAATAAATGTATTGGAAATTGAATTAATTTTTTTATTTTGCAAGTAAACAAACTAATCATCGTTCTCTTCGATAGAGATTCCAAAGCGAGCATTTGTTGACTTAAATTTGCTGATTCAATATTTTTTAACTCATTCTAAATCTAAATTTCTATAATTTTAACTATACATTGTTGTTAGCTGCTCAAAAAGTAAGCCTTTCAATTGTTCATTAATGGCTAATGAATTGTATCAGAATAGATTGGTTTCAAAAATCTCAAAGCTATAAGGTGCGGAGAGTCAACTTTGGCAATAATTGTAAATATGAGTTGCAGCATAGAAGTTCAAAGGCTATCATGTGGTTTGAATTTACTTATAGTCATGTTGACGCGATTTTAACCAATTATATCCTGTATCATGAAATATTTGATTGGTGAATGTTATTCTTTATTCTTTTTGTTAAAGCACAACGTTGTCATTGGAAGCACAAGAAAGGAGGGATAAATCGTGAAGACATGTATGAGACGAGGCTGTCGCGATATAACAACCGGAGATGATTATCGTAGTAATCATCCAGCGAGTTCTAGATCCTAATAACACTAATATTGACCCTATATACTCAAATTAACATTAGGAGATTTAGTAGATTCAACCTTCATCTGTCAACAACGCAAAACCAAATAGACCAAGAGAAGGATCGTCGTCACCAAGCTAAAATCCAAGGTAGTTATTATTGTTGGGGTTTAATTAGCTTTACTTTTGAATTAAGCTATTTCTTTCTTTAGTGAGCTTACGATTAGACAAGTTTGATGAGAATTACTATTATTTATTTATTTATTTATTGCAGATATATGAGATTATATAACAAAATATTACTCTTTTAAACCATTCTTTAAGTTGCTCCATTTTCATCACCTTTTAATACCATTCCGGGATCAATTTTGACTTTTCTCATAAATCCATCATACCAATCCTGAAATGCTTTAAGAGGAATATAAGATTGATACATATCGATATTTTGACCGATAATTTGCATGCCCAGAGGAGAAGATGATGTTGCAAATGAAGTAACATAATTATACAGATTTCTTAGCATATTAGTAGCCACTTGGCTAAGGTTATCTGGAGTCAACACTGAATTTGTCGTCGGAAGATTAGCCATCTGCGATTCCACTAAAGCTATTGCTTCAATAGAAATGCCGAGTGTGGCTGTGACTTGAGGTGCTGGTTGTGTGGTGTCACTCATGTCATTTGTTTCCATTGAAGTGTTACCAGTTAAAAATTTTGTCGATGAAGAGCCGCTGACCGGTATTATGGTTCCTCGAAGACGAAATATTGCGCTAGGTTTCTCATTAGAGAGCCTTTGGAATTTTATCAAAAAAGTTAACATGTATTTTTTTTCATACATTCAAAGTTAACATATAATCAACATACATCCCTAAAAGCTTCCAGGTACCTTCCCCACCTGGGCTTGGTCCTGGCCATAAGAAATGTACTGTAGCAGCATAACCTGGTTCGAATGAAATGGTCCCAAGCAGAAACACGACTATATGATTAATTGTTGCTGCATCCGTTAATTCAAATACAAACTTATTGACGTCAACTTGTTGAAGATTGGTTTGTATCTTTAGAAAAAAATAATAAGGACAATAATAAATCAAATGTTGAAGCAAAAAATTCGTCTTTTATTAATTATAAAAAAGAATATCCAATTTTTAGTTGACTTTGCAAAGTACCTCGAAACGTTACAATTTTTCTTCCAAAGTATGACCAAATAAAAATTGGTATTTCTCATAATGATCTCTCGTTTGAGGGTAAACCTAAATACTCACCAGTCTTCCTGCAACAATACAACCAAACATTTCGGTGAACTTTTGATTTCTCAGTTAAAGAAAGATTCTATTACTACATCTACATGTTTGATTAAATCTATGATGATGTCATTTTAAAAAATAAATTGTATGATCGGAATTGAAAATATTAAACCGGCACTTGCTGGGAATGCCGTTTGGAAAAATTGTCACACTTTTTCCTCTTTTTTAACCCGAAGAGCAATGGACGAATTTATTGTATTAAGCCAAATTAAAACTTTGAAAGAGATTTATGATATAAATAAAAAACGACGAAGACCGCTACCTGAAGGCAATTCATGTTAGCAGTTTGTACTTTTAATAAAATCAAGTGACATTGAGAATGAATGAACTTACTAACCAGTTCCTTTTTATATAGACAAATATGAACACTCTGATCTTTTAAATTCAAAGATTTCTCTACTGTAAGTATAATTTGCATTTTGATATATACTCCTGAGATTATTTTGTTTCAAAAAATTTATTTAGTTTTACCTTCAAAGTCAAAATGATATTACGAATTTGAAAATTGATGCTATTGGTAAGTAATTAAATTTTTTGAATGACATGAAATTAACTAAAACTAATTGAATTATAATTTAGTGAACGCGGCAAATGAATCACTCCTGGGAGGCGGTGGAGGTAAATATACATCACCTTTCTCTGCTTAATCTTTCGTGTTAGTGTTAATCTTTCGATGTTTTTATTCGATAGTTGACGGCGCTATTCACAGGTAGATCGACTTTTCTCTTGTTTTTTTTTTTCATGCACTGAAATTAATCCTTGTAATTTTCTTTTATTCATTTTTAGAGCAGCTGGACCTGGTTTGAGACGTGAATGTTTGACACTTGGGGGCTGTGATACTGGTGTAAGTATATTTCAATGTGGATTCGAATGATCTATATAAGAAATTCTGATTTTTTATGTTCTTTATTATCTGATAGGATGCTAAAATAACTAAGGGTAAATAATTCGCTATTTTTTCTTTTAAATATACGCAAAATGACATGTATTAACTCGAAATCATTTTTGCATTATTTTAGGCTATGACTTGCCATGTACATGTACGGATCGATCTTTTATCGTGTTCTCTTTGTTCTCTTGAAGATAACGAAATTTACTTTGAATTGTTAGACGTAATTCATACGGTAGGTCCCATCGGGGAGGATCAGAATGCCCTTAGAAGCTGTTATCAAAAATGTATGGATCTATTTCACGAATATAAGCTCAAGACTATTGTAAGTTTGGCATATACAATTTCTCGTATTCATTTGAAATGAATGGAAGGTTAAGGCATTAATGTAATTTTTGATTTTTAGGCTTTTTCGAATATAAGCACAGGTTGGTGAAAAACATACATACGTAATTATACTCGAATACAAATTTTCTCAATGATTCTGCTACACAAAGGAATATATGGTTATCCAAGGGTTCCAGCAGGCACTGTGGCGCTATGTACTATCCGAGCATGGCTTGAAAACCAAAAAGATCTTGACGATGTAAGATCACTTTTGCTGTTATTATTTGTTTGATTCTTTCGTTTTTTTTTATGTATTCTCTTATTCTATAACCAAATATTAGATTGATCGAATTATATTCTGTGTATTTGAAAATGAAAATAAATTTGTTTACGAGGAATTATTGCCGAAAATTTTCCCACCCCCTTATGCAACTCCAGAAGAAATTGAAGAAGAAGAAGAAAAGGCAAGAATCGAAGAAAAGGCAAGAGCTGAACGAGAGGAAGAAAAAAGGCAAAGAGACGGCAAAGAGAAGGTTGATGCAAAAGATGTAGATAATGAAGAAAAAGTCACTAAAGATGAAGAGAAAGAAGAAGAAGGTGCGGAAATTAAAGAAAATCTCAAAATAGAAAATCAAGATCCAAAAGTGGAAGTTAGTACTAAAGAAACTGAAGATCCAGTAGTGGAAGTTAATACTAAAGAAACCGAAGATCCAACAGTGGAAGTTAATACTAAAGAAACTGAAGATCCAAAAATAGAAGAAGAAACTGAAGATCCAAAAGTGGAAGAAGAAACTGAAGATCCAAAAGTGGAAGAAGAAACTGAAGATCTAGAAATGGAAGTTAGTTCTAAAGAAACCGAAACGAAGCTGGAATGAAAAGATTTTGTTGACAAAATTTTCGCTTCGTTGCTTAGGTTATGGATACTGAGGAATGGGTTGGCGATAAAGCATTTTGCTGGATAATGTTAATCATGGATGAGGACCTTCTGTTCATATAATTCATTCTTTACGCATCAAGTTTCAAAATGTATTTTTTATACATTTATTTTTCTGGCGCACATTATATTAATAATTTTCTTATGAGAAATTGTTGAATATTTGATAGATTTGTTTCTTAAGTCGCGTTTATAAAGAGCTCAACATAAATTTATTAAGATATAATTTTCAGTCTTATGTTTCTTGACACACAAAATCATCAGATTAAAATGAAATCCGGTGACCTTTTTTGAATAATAATTCCAAAAAAAGGGTCAAATAATTGGGTCTTTTTTGGTGACAATTATAGAAAAGGGACTCAGAGTATAGAGTATAGTCATTAATTATTTACATACCCTACTGGATTTCATTTTAATTTGCCGCAATCAACACGTGTGTACATCCTGCGAGTGTTTTTCATTTTCGTTATTTTTCACCTAGAAAATTTTCAAACACATGAAAAAACTATTGAGTGTACTACATTAGAAGGGCAGAAATTAAATAAACTTGAGGAGGTGATCATACAAAAACAAAAACAAAAAATCTATCCAAATACAATTTACACCGGGTCTGTATGAACGCCCATATCTCTGGAACACATGATCAGATCTTTGAATATTTTTGAACAAAATCGGGACAATATTGGTGAGATATTGGTATCCAAAGTCGGTGCATGAAAAATCGCAAACTTACGGACGGATGAGACAACGATATCTCGACAATCTGTTTCAGAATTTTGCGAACTCAGGTTCGTTTTGATTCGCCTAATAAAGACGAACGTTCTTTGTATTCAGACCACAAAAATTGGTTGGATATTAGGAGAAATATAAGCGTCCAAAGTTGACTGATTTTTCTTGGCATTTTTCCGAGATCGTGGTCGAGTTCGATCCATTTGGGTGAATGACATTTCCACTTTCCTTCTCAGCTCGCTTTAACTCGGATGATTCGTTGGCTTGTTTCGGTTCATGGGACTGATCGGAATCTTCGATCCATATCAACTGTCTTTGATTCATCAGTCTTACCGGTTGGTCTCCGGCTGATCTTTCTTTTCAATTTCCACACCAACTGTCTTTGATTCGGATGATTCATCAGCCTTACCGGTTAGTTTTGATTCATCCGGCTGATCATTCTTTTCGGTGTCAAACAAAGGAAGAAACATCCGAACTAAAGGGAAAAGAAAACAAAGCCTCAGAGATGGAACCAAATATTTATAATGAATAAAATAAATCTTTGAGTTTAAACAGCTACAATAGTGAAAAAAATAATGAAAATTAAAGTGAAAGATATTTTTTTAAACTATTTAGAAAATTTGTGTAAATATCGAGTTTATAACAGTTGTATTTGAAAATATCTAATATAGATACAAATTTTTCAGGACAATTAGAAATCACTTTTAAAAATATCACCTGTGTTTCTGAAAAACAAATCTAACATGACAAATAAAAAAATCACATATATATGTTTATATATAGTTGAATTTTCATATAATCACACTATATTGTTTTCTTTGTTGATTACTCAAAGAATTTTGTAAGTTTCATCAATTTTGAAAAATAATTGTTTTTTTAGTTTGGTAACTTTTTTGTAATTATATAGCATAATTAAAGTTTTATTTTATTGATTACAAATATATATATATTTTACAGATTCTGATTTATTCAATTAGTTAAAATTCTATAATAATAAAAAATTATAATAAAAGTTTTGTGTAATAAAAGTTTAGCTAAATTCATTTAGTAAAGATAATAAAATGATTTTCATTTGTAATTATAATTGTTACTTAATATATTATAATAGAAAATATATTTATTATAAAGAATATTATTTAAAATAAATTAAAAAGAATACAAATATACTTATACTAAAGAATTTTAATAATAATAAAAATATAAAAAGATGAAACTTTTTAAGATAGAAAAGAATTTGAATATTTCATTTAAATTAAAAGCAAAAATTAGTAAATAAAAATCAATGAATATTTAATTTACAAATTCAATATTAAAAAAACATTTTTCTTTTTTTTAAATTAATATCAAGTTGCTTTAAAAATAATGTTTAAATATATTTTTTAAAAAAAAATAATTTTTTATTTTATTTTTTAGAAAGTATTGCTTTATTTATTATTAAATAAAAATATAAAAGAATAATATAAATAATATAAATGATAAATTTAAATTATTTTTTACTTAGTGTAAAAAATTACAGAGTTTAGTTAAATTTTGAATGATTTTTATTAGAAGCAATTATTAATTTTTATTTTGAGATGCAAATCTTTTTGTACCAGATCATATTATATAATATATTTTTTATTTTATATGTTTTAATATATAAATATTATATAATATTTATTCATAAATAGAACTTCAATTATGTAGTATTTATAAAGAGGTTTTTATATAGATTTTTTTATTAATAAAAAATATAACTAAATCAATTATCAATGTTTGTATATGATTATAAATATATATAAATAAAATTTAGAAAAATTAAACAAGTAATTTTATTCTCTAAGTTCTATTAAATTGATAGTTAAAAAGTGACTGTATCAGAATGCAGGGGGAATTGTCCGATCATGTGATTTCCGGACCAGTGATCGGCTGATCTCCGATCCCAGT